AGGTGGGGGGGACCTGAAAATTGAAATATTACATTTTTGAGGTTCGCGCCTCTAGACTTTAGGCAATCCAATAGGTGGGGGGGACCTGAAAATGTAATATTACATTTTTGAGGTTCGCGCCTCTAGACTTTAGGCAATCCAATAGGTGGGGGGGACCTGAAAATGAAATATTACATTTTTGAGGTTCGCGCCTCTAGACTTTAGGCAATCCAATAGGTGGGGGGGACCTGAAAATGTAATATTACATTTTTGAGGTTCGCGCCTCTAGACTTTAGGCAATCCAATAGGTGGGGGGGACCTGAAAATTGCAAAATTACATTTTTGAGGTTCGCGCCTCTAGACTTTAGGCAATCCAATAGGTGGGGGGGGACCTGAAAATGTAATATTACATTTTTGAGGTTCGCGCCTCTAGACTTTAGGCAATCCAATAGGTGGGGGGGACCTGAAAATGTAATATTACATTTTTGAGGTTCGCGCCTCTAGACTTTAGGCAATCCAATAGGTGGGGGGGACCTGAAAATGTAATATTACGTTAGTATTGGGTTCGCGCTTTCAGCTTTTAGGCAATCCAATAAGGAGGCCCCCTTGGAGTGCGCTGGGCAAGAAGCTTCTGGAAAAGCAATGGGCAAGTACGGAAAACACATGCGCAAAGCATACAGTCATTTGAAAGGGAGCCAGGGCCAGATGTGTGCTTTGCCAAACTTTAAAAAACGATGGAAAATCCATAGATCCCGTAATCCTTATGTGTGTTTTGCCTTAATCCCTTAATCCTTGATTTGGGGGGGGGGGTTAAAAATGGGTTTGTATTTTTTTCGGGTGGCCGGGCAGGAAGGTTTGAGTACGGGGTATGATTCGATTCGCGGAAGCAGCAGCAGCAGTAGTAGTAGAGGTTGTCGCCGAAGTAGTAGTACTAGTAATATTGTAGTAGTAACAATAGTAGTAACAATAGTAGTAGTAGTAGTAGTAGTAGCAGTAGTAGTAGTAGTAGTAGTAGTAGTTGTTGTTGTTGTTGTTGTAGTGGTAGCAGTAGTAGGAGCATTAGCAAATAGTAGTAGCAGTAGTCCTAGTAGTAGTAGTAGTAGTAGTAGTAGTAGTAGTAGTAGTAGTAGTAATAGTAGTTGTTGTTGTTCTTGTTGTTGTAGTAGTGGTAGCAGTAGTAGGAGTAGTAGTAAAAAGTAGTAGCAGTAGTCCTAGTAGTAGTAGTAGTAGTAGTAGTAGTCGTAGTAGTAGTAGTAGTAGTAGTAGTCGTAATAGTAGTAGTAGTAGTAGTAGTAGTAGTAGTAGTAGTAGTAGTAGTAGTAGTAGTAACGGTAGAAGCAGCGACTGTAGTGGCGCGGAAGCTTTGAAAAGACTTGGCGCTGGCCTTGGCAAGGCAAGTTCATTGCGCGGGTATGATTCGGGTACGATTCGCGGGTATGATTCGGCTAGGCGCAAAACGGCACTGATTACAGACTCAGAATGATGTATGTGGTAGTGGTGAGCAGTAGCAGCAGCAGAGGCAGGAATAGTAGTAGTAGAAGTAGTAGTAGTAGTAGTGGTAGTAGTAGTAGTAGTAGTAGTAGTAGTAGTCAAGGTTGTAGTCGTAGTAGTAGTAGTAGTAGTAGTATAATAGTGGTAATAAAAGTAGTAGTAGTAGTAGTAGTAGTAGTAGTAGTAGTAGTAGTAGTAGTAGTAGTAGTAGTAGTAGTAGTAGTAGTAGTAGTAGAAGTCAAGGTTGTGGTCGTAGTAGTTAGTAGTAAGGGTAGCAGAAGCAGAAGTAGAAGCAGTAGAGTAGTAGTAGCAGCGGTAGTAGCGGTGGTAGTGTAGCGGTGGTAGTGGTAGTAATACTCGTAGTCGCGGTAGTAGCAGTAGTAGTAGTAGTAGTAGTAGTAGTAGTAGTAGTGGTAGTAGTGGTAGTAGCAGTAGTAGTAGTAATTGGAGTAGTTGTAATTGGAGTAGTAGTAGTAGTAGTAGTAGTAGTAGTAGTAGTAGTAGTAGTAGTAGTAGTAGTAGTAGTGGCAGTGGCAGTGGCAGTGGTAGTATTGGGTAGCGCTGGTGGTGGTTGTTGTGGAGACAGTGAACAACACAAAACGGTAGAAGAACAGTAGCATCTTGCAGCATACGTCTTAAGGGGTATGATTCGGGGGTATGATTCGGGGTATGATTCGGAGGTATGATTCGGGGGTATGATTCGGGCAGGTCCCACCTTCTGCCTTTTGAAGCAACTCAACACACAAAAAAAGGACAAACCCAGATGTACGTTACATTTTTGGGGCTCAACTTCCCTGGTTTTGAGGCATGGGAGGGGAGGGGGTGCGGGGGGTCAAACATGCCAAACATGCGCCAAGCCTTTCCCATTGCAAATCTTTGACGTGGCTCACTCTCCATTTAGCGCGGTCGCAGGCCTTAGTTTTCACAGTTGCTGCGATGCCACACGTTTGATTGTCGGCAAATGCTCTTCACCTTTGCGCTTGTCACTTCAAAAGGTCTAGCAAGAGGCATGCAAGAAGCACGGTGGCCAATGCCACGACGTGGCTGTCTGGCTTGCGTATTTTGGGAGAGGGTTGTGCAAACAACGTTGCCTGGTCAAAGCCTGAAGGATGTAGAATAAGAACCCGACCATGCGACACACATGGGGAGATGCCACGCAACATACCACGTAGCTGCATGACTAGCACCATGTGCGGGGTCATTTTCGTGGACATCTACACCATGCGCGCGCCTGCTATCAGGATATTTTCAGGCGGTGGACAATCCGCCGACCGGTGCGACCATCCTTCGCCATCCGTCAAGGGGAGAGGTAGACCGAGTTGTACTCCTGGAGCCTGCTCGGGACACAGCTCCAGGGCCAGGACGGGGCCCCCATTTCAACTATGTAAAACTTGCCAAACTGTCTCACCCAAGTCGACTTCTTGCGGGCCTTAGGGCCGCTGGCGCTAAGCGCGGCAAGTTGGATGGAGAACGCGGCAAGCCACCAGAAAATCGAGTGTTGGCTAACTGGACCGCGCTGCGGGCCTTAGGGCCGCTGGCCCTAAGCGCGGCGAGCCGAGTCTGCGAGATTCGAGCAGGCTGCCGCGCTTAGGGCCAGCGGCCCAAAGGCCCGCAGTCCGCACCACGGGCTCAAAACTCAAGTTTTCGGAAGCTTGCCGCACTCGCCAAGGCCCGCGAGAACTTGACTTGGGTGGGACAGCAGTGGCAATGACGGCGTTGGGCCAGGCTTGCAGGGAACTCCGGAACAGCTCATTAGTCTACATCTGCCCTCAACGCATAGCAAAGGAAGTCAAGTTGTGCTCTGAGCAGAGGGTCGGCGAATTACCTGTCCGTTTTCTTGCTAAGGGCACAGTTTAGCTAGACAAGTCTAGGAATCTTCCAGGCTCCACTTGAAGCTGAGGCTGGCTCGCACCCTCCGGCGTCCTCCTGGGCGCGGCAGTGCCCTGGACGCGCCCCCGCGCCGGGCGCACCTGAGCGTCCTGGACGCGTTCCGCGCCCTGCACACGATCGCGCCCTAGGCGCGCCCGCGCGCCCGGGGCGCGCCTGCGCGCTCTGGACGCGCCCGCGTCCCTGGGTGCGTCCGCGCGCCCCTCAACGCGCCCGCGCGCCCTGGGCGCGCCCGCGCGGTTTGGGCGCACCTGCGCGCCCTGGGCGCCCCCGTGTAGCGGGCGCGCTCGCTAAACGCGTCTGCTACACAACTTTTCTGATAGCAAACGCGTCTGATTGGCGATGAAAAAAAAAGGCGCATGTTTGACCCCCTCCGCTCGAAAACCAGGGAAATTGAGCCCCAAAAATGTCACAAAAGGAGGGCATGTGTCTTTTTGTGAGTTTAAACGAGACCCCTCTCCAGCAAGAGCAACACGGTCTGGGGAAAAGGCCGGTTCGGCCTGTCCGGGTGATTGAAGAACACTTGTGCAGTGTTGCGCTTCTCCTCGAAGAGTTGCACCGCCCGAGGCACTCCTACGAGCGTCGGCAGTCCCATTTGCGGTTTCTTCAGAAGCCACAACCTACCATAAATGAATCCGAAGCATTGACAAATGGAATTGGCCCCCGATCAAATCCACTTGACCTAGTGGTTTGGATTGGTCTGGGAATTCAATCCACGGGCTCTGGCAGCCACATTTGCCAGCAAAGACTATCCTCCAAATTATCAACCCAAACTGCAATTTTGAAACCTTGGTCGGAAAAGAAGCACGTCCGGAGTCCAGAACACAGGGACCCCCGCCGAGCGGGCAAACTTTCGCCTTCAAAGAGGAACAAGACAGAGGTTGCGAAAACAAGCTGAAAAAAAAACACATCTTCACATATGACACATTATGATATACAGATATACAGAAATATGTTTCTCGCTGGTCATGGTCAAAACCAAGGGACCGGCCCTCCCCAAAACGAGCTGACAAACCCCGGCCTGGGCCCTCCATCAGCTCTACGCATAGCACGTCGCCAGGAGCACAGCCACACCTCGTCTCAAGTCAAAAGAAGCGACCGGGCAGCGTTCAGCTTCGTAAATACTAACCGAGATCTCGAGATATTCGTTTTGCTTACTTATATGAATGCATATCATGTACACACAGATGTGTATACATGTAGGTTTAGGCGTTGTTTGATGGTTTACAGTGGCCAAACAAGCCCTAGCTACTTGTTTTCTTCCTAAACAAGGGATAATGAGGTCCAGCAAGTTGATAGCACAACGAAAGCCAAGCATCTGGCCCTTTTGTGAGACGAACTCCTACAAAAGATCCTCACATTTTCAGACGGGCGCAACCTGAAAGGTTACGAATAAAACCTTGATCTGCATCCTCGCCTTTGAGTGAATAAAATACAATGTACTGGGGTCCACTTGTTGCAACCATCCTCAAACTTGGGCTGTCCTTAGATCCCCTTGCTAGAAGTTTAACTTTTAGTGCACCCAACCACTAAACCAACCAAAAAGCAAAAAAACACTAAGGAACCAAACGGCTGGGAACCAGCAAAAAAAAAAACCTTGAACCCATTCTTCTCAGGCGCTCGAGCAGCGTCGCCGCATCGTCCTTCAGCTCATGGCCCGCCTTCGGCTGAAGGACGCTCGCGCGAGCGGGGCGTGGAAGCTGAGCAAAAACCACGCGAAACGAAAACTGGCCTCCTCAAAACTGGAAGCCAAGCGCCCCAAACAAAAAAAGAAACCCGCTGCCCAAGGAAAGCAAGGGATCTTGGTTGCCTGGTGACCCGCTCGGAAGTCAGGAGTCCTTTCTTGGGACTGTTTTTTTTCGTGGGGAAAGCAGTAGCGAGGAGTTGTAGACCGTGTAACTGGGGTTGAAGTGGTCGCTCTGCAGCAGGGCCCACTTTGGGTTAATTCAGGCATGTGTTCTACATGGCTTGAGGATAAAGTCAATCTTTCTTGACAGAAGACGGTGTCAATGGTCAAATCATGGCCTACAGTCTATCCCAACTCCGCCGTGTCGAAGTTTGGCATCCGAGAGCGATGCTACTCTTTGGGGGGCTGAGGCTCACCTATATAATCAATCCCTCTTGAACATACTTGACTGTCCATTTCTCTCGCCGACTACATTTCTATCATAGTGTCAAATGTTTCAAGGTTCTCCATTTCAAATCATCTTTCTGCCAGCAACTGTTGGGCAATGCCAAGAGATTATGTTGCGGCTCAACCGGTCTGACCGGAGTCAGGTCATCCGGAGGTGCGGGTACAAGCCAGGGTCAAGCGGATTGCGGATTGTGATTGGGCCACTGTCATTCTTGAAATGAGGGCCCATGCGCTTGTGGAGATTCAAGGCTCATGTCCCCCTCGTTTTGAACTCCGGACGCAGGCCTGAAATAAGTCCGGGGAAAGGGTGCCTGTGAATGGGCATTCGATTTTACCATTCAAGGGTCCTGTTGGGATGGACTTGGTTGTCCGTCCTGCTTGCTGCTGTCCACCTGATGCAAACTGGCCACTTTTGGTGCAATATGCAAGAAAAAGGACGCTGCCTGTTGCGTTTTCTGTGGGTGCATAGTGGTGTGATTCCTGAACAAGTTGGAATTGCTGCAGGGGACCAGGGCCTTCAACATATTGTATAGAAGTGTGGAGCCGTGTTATTGTAAGACAATTGCAGACAATTGCTGGTTTCATGTTCCCCTCAAGAAGGCTGGCTCACATGCTACTTGACCCGTGAAAAAAAGCACGTGAAAGACCGTTCCTTCCCCCAGAAGGAATGCTGGGGGACAGGCTGGCATCTGCAACAATCAAAAGTGCGTTGCACTCATATCGCCATGAGAAACACCCCCCCCAGTGGGGTCATGTCGGAGTGCCTGCATCCCAGACATGGCCACCAAGACAACGCCATCCACTGGCAGGCTCCTGCGGCATTCATTTGGATGCCGCAAGAGAGATGGTTCCTTACCTGTCCACCCCAGGGGAATCTTCATAAACATGAGCAACCACAAGGTGATGTTAAAAGAGCACCTAGAATTAGGTACACTGAGAGAGGCAATGACTCATGCTGAACTTGACAAAGGAAAGCAACAAGTGACGCTCACGCTGCATCAAGATGTTTTGCACGGCATTCTCAGGGGCGGAACAGTTGCCAGCAAACCTTTGAACTGCAGCCAACTCCCAAGGCAAGTAATCAATGGCACTGGCGAATCCATGTAGTGAGCCGGCAGTTGTCCGAGCCTCGCATAGGCCAACTCTCAAAGTCGACCTGCTTGCCACACGCGGGCCATCAAAGAAAAACCATGCGTCTAGGCTTGCATCTGATCGCGGCAAACGATCGCCGTTCAACGATATCCAACGATCCATGTTCGTCGGCTTTCCCACATTTTACAGCGGCTTTTCGGGCAGGGAAAAATCAGGCGCCGCTTTACAACGGAGTGGACCCGTCAAACCCTAAGCTTGGGACTTGTCGAACAGGATGGGGTGGACCTCGTGATATATTTTTGGAAGGCCTGCCCCGAAAACCGAATCGAATTCTTCACCGAAAGCTTTTCCTTTGTTGGTAGCAAACAATTAGTGGGACTTTATCCAATTCAGGCGTAAATCACGTCATGCTTGCCTACGGAACCAGACTGTGCAAGCAAGCCATCTGCCAACAGCCTCGCCATCCCGGGGAGAACAAGCTGCTTCAGGAGTTCTCCCATTTTTCGTCTATCCGAATCCACACCAAAAACATGTTCAGGGGATCAACTCAATCTGAATTGGCCACTCCGAGGGCTGCCAAAAAGGAAGACCTAGTGGGCCGTTTGTTTCCACCCCCAGCATCCCATGATCTCCATCTGGCAGCCGCTGCCAACCGCACATCCCGCAAAAGTGGGGATGCCGATCCGCCTACCGGCCTGGCGTGAGACAAAAGGAAACAAATCTAAACCCTCCCTCAAATGTCCCGTGGATTTCCATGGGAGAAAAAAAAAGGCACCCTTATTTTTGGTTGTTTGACTCTTTCAAGGGACACCCTTCCCGCAAAAAAGGAGAAAGGGCGCCACTGGGCAACTGGGCTCCCATCATTCAGCCGCCAAAAGGGGCTTTTCAAAGCTTCGACTTTGCTTCTTCTTGGGACGTGTCTGTCCAAAAAACCTCGGAAGGCCAACATGTCCCAAAGCTCAACGAACGGGACAACCTGTCAGAAACCAAAGCTGGGGATGACAACTCGCCCTCATCCTGAACAACCAACCAGAACTCGGCTGCGAAATCTGCTCCCCTGCTAAAAGTTTACCTTTTAGTGGTTTAATACGGAAAACCCATTAGTTGGCAAAAAGGTAAAGTCCTAACATCCAAGCAAAATGCACCAAAGATGATGTAACTCTTCATGCGAGGTGTCCATTTTCAGAGGGAACCCTACCCAACGAAACGGGGAAAAGGCAACCGCGCCTTGTCGGGGCTGTGTCGGCAAACAGGTCCTGGCACGGCCCCAAAGTCTGGGCTGTTCAAAATGGGAAGGTTGGCCAATCCAAATCCATAATCCTTGTAGGGAAGCCACTACAAAAGAGACCCCTTGCGGAAACAAAGGTAAGGAGTAAGGATGATCTTTGAACAGCCAAAAAAAATCTGCCAAGTAAACAATACATCCACTTCTGCATTTCGAGCCTTTGGGGATGGTTACTTCGGCTGCCAACCATCAGCGTAAACACACCGTGCTCCAACATCCTCATTTATGGTTTCTCTTCGGGGGCGATGCTCTGATCGCAGCCAAAGGTTCAAACATCGACAGCTTTTCTGGGCTGGGCCTATGTAAATCCAAAGTGTGTCGTCCAGCACTTAACCCCTCCCAAGAAACTCAACCTGGCACTTCCCTGCAAAGGAAGTTCCTCCCTACTGTGGATGGACAAAATCCTGCACCACTTTGAAATCATGGGAAACCATTCTTCCTTGGTAATTACAGGGGATTCGCATCGTTCCATCCGCAGCAGGGCGCTTTTCCTTTGCTGCTTGCCCAGGGAAGCCGACAGAAGAAACAACGGCGCCTCGCTTTGTGCCAGGCAGGCTTTGTCACCCCCTCCCTTTCGGTCCGGCATCTCTTCTTGTCCGAGCTCGTAGGTTTCCTCAAGGCCTTTCACCTGATCTCAGCTGTCAATCGCATTTGATTGGAAGCAGCAGTGTCCCTGAAAGGAAACACAAACGAATCACCTATCCCGGCCCACAAAAACAAGTTGACTTTTCTCCATCACGACAAGGGAGCAGGTCTCGTACTGTGAATGGTTGCGAAATCCATTTCGTGCCACCTGAGAAACCCTGGTTTTTGATTCGATTCCCCTGCAATGACGTAATGGTTTTTCAACCATGGTTTCTGAACGGTGGTGCGTGGCATTCGTCCATCGTGACAGGGCCTGGTCGTTGTAGCCAGCTTGAGCGCTGGCCTCAGCACGGCCCAGGTTTGCACGGCGAACCCGTGAAATGTTCCAATACATTGTCGCCTTTGTGCAGCACCTTCGCCAAACATGTTCCTCCTCAACATCGTGCCAAGAGAGCACAAAAAACGGCCCTGGTGCAGCATCTTCCCCAAACATGTTCCTCCTACAGAAAACGCTCAACTAGCCACAGAAGCTGATTAAAAAAAACAAAAACAAAAAACACACACACATAAAATCCTAATAATACAACACGTATAGGGACCCCTGTGACCTGGAACAAGGACACTGCTCGTCTCACTTGCAGCTCCCTGGGTTTCTCAGGCGCAGGCAAGTTCAGCCGACGCCGCCTCACCCACCGCGGTGGGACCGCGAAGGGCGATCAAAGCCATAGCCATGGTCAAATCGACTTCTTCCTCCCCATCGGAAAATGAGAGGCTTCCCGGGTCGCGGAAAAATTAGAGCTCATCCCCCATGTACTCCCCAATCGTAGGCAAATCAGGTCGAATAACAAAAGCGAGTCCGCCCGTGGCCCCCTCGAAATGAATAAACCAGTATATAAGTTTCGCTGACAGGAAACGGCCCAAACTCGAAAATGAAAGGGTAAACATTTTGGGCAAACTTGTGGCACCAGAGTGGGACACCAAATGCGCAATCCAAGCCTGGGTTGAGCCTAGAGCCAAGCCCTCCCTAAACCATGGAAACAGCCTGAGGGATGCCTTCGAATACATTCATGGGTGGGACTGCTCCAATACTGAAGTTCCTGTCCAAATCCTCAACGGCCATGGGGAAGAAATAATCGGCACTTTGTGTTTTAGTAGTTGACTTTCTGGGGAACCCTTCAAGCAACAGAAAGCATGGGGTGGTCTGGGGCATTCTATGGGCACGAGGAAGTTAGTGGCGCCAAACAATGTGACCTTCTGCTGCAAAAAACCGACCACAAACAAAACGTGCTTCAAAATAATAAACTACAATTGCGCAAAACTTGTTGCTTAAACACAAAAATATTGTGGTTATCTAGGTCCTGTAGTAGAGAGGTTAGAATAAGGCTACCTTGCTTTCCTGTTGCCTATTTTAGTAGGGGAACCCTCCCCCCCCCGCAACACAAAAAACCAAGGGTAAACAGGGGCACTGCTGGGGGGTCTAGTCATTCATCCGCTTTCCCAAAACCAAACTCCGGCGCTTCGCGCGCGCCCCCGGGGCTCGCCACCGGCGCCGGCGCCTTGGCCGCCTTGGGCTCCGTGGCGAGGCGCAGGGCGGCCACGCGGCCGGGGGCCGTGCTGGGGGCCGTCAGCTCGTTGTCCCAGAGGCAGAGGAAGGTGGGCTCCAGGCCGCCCCAGTCGCCTCGCCGCAGGAAATGACCCCCTTCGGCTCAAAAAACAAAAGAACGTGCAGGCCAGACGTTTTTTTCGGTTTACCTCCCAAAACATATATGCAAACACCTGGAAAGGGTGAGCAGCGACACCGGTAAGCAGCCACGATTTGTCAGAGCCCGTTTCCAAATGTTGGTTCATGCGCAAAGCAAATGATCGTCCTTTGGCCTTCCAGCCCGAACTCGTCACTGGAGCCCGTTCTGAATAACGGTTCCCTAGAAAGTTGGTACATCCAAATGCCACCTGGGCAGGGTTGCTGCTGCTCACCTGCTAACAAGGATTCCCCTGGAGGTTATTCACCCACCGGGTTTGCCATTGGGCCTGTGTTTTTGAAAGACTGCCAAACAAACACAGTGAGCATGCTGAAATAGGGACGGGTCTCACAACCAAAACACTACAACAAACAGGAAAGCAACAAAACCAGTGAATTCTAGAAACTGCAAACAAACTCGATAGCACAGATCAATAAACCAACGACGCAAAGTCACCAAGCACAACTTAACTGTGGATGCTGATCATATTAAATACAATTCTTTGCGGATCTTGCGGACTCATGTTAGGGTATGGGGTGTAGAAACTCCTCCAGTTGTGCTTTTTGGTTGTGGGCTAGTCTGATCCAGTGGAAAGACTGTCTGGGACTTGTTTTTGTCTAGTCGTTTCGAGAGTTTCTTGGTTTTAGACTTCTATGAGTCTTCGTTTTGGTTTACTGCGTATCTATGAGCACGCAAAGGCACGACAAGAGCTGGAAATACAGAACTGATTTTGCAGCAGCCTTTGTGAGCTGTGATTCTAGGCGGCGATCACATTTGCGCGGTCTTGACAGCTTTAACCAAGGGATGCCATGGAGCAGTTGGAAATTCCGGGTGGGTTCGTGGTGTTCCCGAAGCGTTCTGGTGGCTGGGGACACCTGGGATTATTCCAAGGACACGAGGCTCGTGATGTAAGGCACGGGCAAGGGCACGAGTTCCCCCAAAGACATGTGGAAGCTTCGAGTGTCCTCTGGCTTCGGGAAGCTAAGAGCTTGTCCCCAAGGTCCCCAAAAACAACCGGAATTCCAACCAAACCGCAGGGTGCTGGTCCGTCCCAGGTGCTGCCCTCACACAGCAGCAGCTCCTTGACCTGCTCCAGCTCCTCCAGCGGGCGCCCAGGCAGGCCCCGTCGGTCCAGCTCGTAGAGTCTGAAGGGAGGCCGGCCGTGTGAGGGAGACACTGGGCGTTGGGGGGGTGTCTTCTTCATGAGAGACCACCCCGCCCTCAAGAAAATAAAAATGCGGGGGCTTTCCTTTGAATCACCTTTCAGACCGCGGGAAATAAACAAGAAAAGGCAAACCCATACTTCGGAAGGAAACGGTTTCTCGGAGCCCAAGTTGTTTGGGGGAGGATAGGCTCGGAAATTGGTGATCCACTTGTACTGGAAATAATGAGGCCTTGCCCTGGCCACAAATGATCTTCCATTTGCTCAAGGAAACCATCAGCGATGGGAGCTGTATCGGAAGGAACCCCCTTCATGTGATTGAGGGGACTGGTGTGGCACTCGAGCGGATCCTGAGCCTGGGACCCAACATGTTTCCAAGGCTGAAATAGGACAAACCCGGAGCCGCTGACTTCTGCACTTGGACTTGTTCTGTGGTGATGTCTTTGTGGTTTGCCACGCACATTGCAAGAACCCCACCGTGTCAAGGTCTCCACTGGATCAGTTCCCTAATTCTGAGGCAAGTGGGGGGGCCATATGGGGCCATAAGTTGCATGTTCTTGGCAAAAAGCAAGTGGAAGCACGCCAACCACCAAGCAATCCTGATTTTGCCGCTCGTTGCTTCGTTGCCCGTCAGAGAAAAAAGGGTTGTTGTCTCCAAAGTGGGGATCCGCTAAGTAGCAGCGAGGCTTTCCTTCCTGACCAACATGGAACCCCCAAAGCCAGACATTGACATGTTTGAGAGGAGTTTTTTTTTTTCTCGGGGGACCCCTTTTGGGGTTTCATGATCATTTAGAAGGGTACCTCAACTGCCATGGCCATCCCCAGCCTCGCACTTGCCAATGGGACCTTTGCCCAGTCAGCATCCATTTCGGAGAGAGCCTTCCTCGGGACGAAATGGAAGTGGAGTATGGACCTAGGCAGCCTGAAGAGCAACAATTGCAGTGGAAACTGCACCCTGCCCATTCAACCAGTGAAGCTTGGCACCCACGGCAAAACGGTTCACCAGTGCAAGCTACATCCGTCGGAATCTACGATTCGTGAGTCCCCTGTCCCTCAATAGACAAACATGCTGACGGAACCTCAGATAGATGCACACTGAGAGTCTGCGCCCTTCTCAGAAGGGACTCAGGCTGCCGGTCCAGGGTTTTGATGCTCACACACATCTCCTGACCAGCCCATGGATTCAACCTGAAGGTGCCTGAGCCTGTGCTTAAAGCCATCAACGGAAGGGAAACCAGGCCGTGGCGCACACAAAGTACTGAGGCATCCTAAGTTGGGTTACTCTTTAAGGAGGGCGCCAAATGAATCAACACAACTTCTGGCTGACTCACTTGAAATCATGCCTTTCCCCAAGATAGCGGGGGCAAATGGTTGAAAGGGCTTAATCAGTTGGCAGGGTTGGGTGCGTGATACAGGTAGGTATCAAAACTGGGGATCCCCAAAAAAGGCGGTTGTCCTGTTGGTATCCCTTGAAACCACCTAAAAAAGGTGCCCTCGAACAAAGCCCAAAAGTGGAAGACCGATAAGCCCAAGGCGCCCTTTGATATGTTGGAACCCTTTCGCAAGGCTTTCCGAATCCTGGGTTTGCAGTGTGTCTGCCTTCTCACAGGGACAATGACCGGACTAATTTTCTGGAATTATTTCGGTGTTTGGTGGCCTAAGGGCAGGCCTCTTGTTGCCTGATGCGGGGGGTGCAATACAAACAACACATGCGCTGATGAACTGTAGTCAGACCTCCCAGATGTGTTGGACGCAGCTGAAGCACACAACCCGTGAAAGCCTTCAGGATATCAGTTGGCATGCCCAGTCTGGATCACCTCACCTCGAAACGCCACGTGAGACTGTCCGAGTACACTCCCCCAGCCTAACATGGAAGAACCCAGAAGGCCTGTTTCGCAAAGGTGTCCTGTGAGCTTTCATGTTAGCAGTAGCTACCTCTGCTTCATCACTGCTTGATGCAAAGCTTTTTTCATTTTGTGAGCATGCTCGAATTCAAAGACCAATACCCGTATCAAACATCCCCTAGTTGGTGGTTTGGAGTTGTGGTTTGAGGATTTGACCCCCTTGCCTTCCTGTCTGATCGTCTTGATCGCCCAGGCACCCTTCCACAGGCGCTATGCTTGTGGGGCAGAAAATCATTCCATTTGATGACCCCAGCTTCATAAGGGTCTGTCTTGTTTGAGGGGACCCTTTTACTTTGCAGGTTGAAAGGGAAACCAAGGGGATGACCTACCATTTTGGAAGTCTCCTAAAGAAGACACACCCAAAAGCCAGTCCTTTTCTTGGGGTGCCCCTCCAAAAAATGATGAACCACGCAAAGGGGGCGTCCCCCTACTCCTCTGCAGAACACGAAATGGGGGTTCGTTTCCCAGAAGCAGTCTCCTCGAGCAATAATGTGTGTTTTGTTGGTTCCATGATGATTTGGAGGGGAATCATCAACCAGGGGTCCTGCTTAACTGGGCTGTCCTCAGATCCCGTGCTAAAAGTTTATCTTGTGGGTTAAATCGACCATCAAAACACATATAACAAACACACCAAAAAACAACTAAGGAACCGGAGGCTTGAATTTCACCAACTGAAAGCCACAAACAGAACCGAAGGCGCCGGACCCTTCGCCGGGAGCCGCCGGAATCCATCCGGGGCTCTCGGGGACTGCATGGGGCGCCTGGGCCTCCACTGGCTCCACCAGGCCGTGCAGCTGCGCGCTGACGTAGCTGCGGAGGAAGAGCTCGGCCGCGCAGGGCACGAAGATCTTCACCTACGCGAGTCGTTACGTGAGGCATCAAAACCCGGTGTGAAAATGTGGTGGGGACGAACTCACCTGGAGTGAAAACCCGGCATGAACATGCTCGGGACGAACCATGCTGCAAGAATTGAAAAGACGGATATCCACGCCCAGAAATAGGGCTGGGATTGTTCCTTACCCAGCAATCATCTGGGTTTTGATTGCGACTCAGGTGAGTGTTCCGCATGTTCAAGGCAAGGGCTCGATCCCGGTGCCCCCTCTGCAAACATCACCCCTGTAGCAAAACTATATACGTGGAAGATACCATCAACCTACAAAATTTGACATCACAAGCCTCCCTTGATACATATGCCGCTGCGTCTTGCTGCCAAAGCGAGTGCAGAAACACGGGCCCCTTTGTGCCTTTTGTGGACGTGCACTGCGAGTGCTGGATGAAGCGCTTGCGGATTCACTAAGGCCCCCCCAAAGGAGCTAAAGGCCCCCCCAAAGACCCCACAGGCAACTTTGAGGGTACCCGTTTGGATTTGGTTTGAAGGGAACCCAGGAGGAAAAAAAAAACAAGCTCCAAAACTCCAAAACTCCATCGGTATTTTGATGCCCAATAGGCTCCTCTTCGGGCCCATTGGCGAGACACCATTCAAGTCCCGGGCTCTGGGCTCCAGGGGCCCCATGGCCTATCGCTTGCCTTGTGCCTACATCTAGGTGAATTTTCATATTTCACCAGCCTGAAATAAGGTAGTTGGAGGGATATTCCCCACATAAACCACCGTTTGGGGTCGTGTGAGGTCGTTAGAATTCACCCAGCTACATTTCTCCCGGGTACTCCCCTGGTACTACTTACAGTAGGGGGGTCCTGCAAGACTTAGGGGGTATCAAGCACTAAATGTCCCCTGGTTGCTCTTTTGGGCTTTGCGGAAGGGGCTTGTGGGGAACTTTTTGCCTAGAAATGGACTGAACCATCCGTGGCAGGGTGTGTAGGCCCCCCCCCAAACAAAAAGAAGAAGAACAAAGGAACACGCATTTTGCAGTTCACCAACCGAACAGCAGTGCCCCCGAAAAGACAGGAACCTTCCCTTTAGGCGACGTCGCAAACCCGCGAGTGACGTCCTTAGAATTTGCTGAATTCGGTGAACCTCTCAAACTGTAATTGCTTTCTTCCATTTGCTTAAGCCCCCTAGAGAAAAAAAAGGTCCAGTAGTGGTAGATTCCCTGTAAAACCCGCAAGAGGCAAACATATTCCTAAGCACATGGAAGCTTTGATGGACATGTCGGGGTGTCCCCATCTCCAGATCTCTCCATCCCACGGGCGATCCTCCAGCAGTCGCCGGTGAAGCTCGTAGACCCGCTGCAGCTGTTGCAGGCGCTGGTTCTCCTCGAAAATCTCCGCGCGGCCCGGCACCTCGCCATCCTGGAAGCGTGTCACCCCACCTGTGGCCTAATGGACTTCCAAGGTTTGCCTCTTGGTTCCTTCCTGATTGGTATTTCTGCTGCTTGGAGAAAAAAAGAGCCTACACTTGAGTTTGGCAGCGCGCCACTCTCTGCGTAAGGGATTGGCCAACGACAAGTCTTCAGGAAAATGTGGGTGTTTGAGGGGTTGGCCTGTTGAAGGGTGTTTGTTGTTTTTGGGGGTTGGGTTCTGTTCATTTTTACCAGGGAGGAACAGATGCCGGCGGGAGCGGAGCCGTGGCGCTCATCGGCAGCACGCCAGCCCTAGGAAAGGAAGTTGGAGGCTCTAGGCCTAGCAATTGTCGCCATTGCAGTACGAAGTGCAGGCGTTCCTGTATGTGGAACGACCGCTTTTCAAAATGCCAATGTGGCACACACGTTGGCATGCCTCTGGCTGGAGCAACACATGGAAAAACTCATGAGGTCCAACGGATTTGCTATCGAAGGGAAACGTTGATCCTGGCACCATGGTGTTTCTGTTAGGGAAGCTTTTGGAACCCATGTAGCTAACAGCTCCTTTGTTTTCGAAAATGATTTGGATATTTTGGAAAAAGGTCTAGATTGGTTCTTTGTCTTGTGGCGGGCCGTACTTTGTGCAACTCCCGCAAACGGATACCTGGCTTCATGTTCAAAGGGGGTTCCTTTTTCCCTGAGCCTTAGCAATTTGAAGGGAAGCCCCAAGACAAGGAGCTTGGGGCACCACCTTGCCATCTCGCATGGAGGGGCTTGGTCCAGGGGATCTTTGAGCTGGACGCTCTGTGGGTTGGTTGTATACGACAGGTATATTGAATTATCCTCCTTGGCCCATAGCAAATGGTGAAACCAGATAGTCCAACCACCTAAAGGGCCCGCTGACAAAGAGGACGCCTTTCAATGAAACAAGAAGTCCATGTTACCTGCAAGATGGAAAGCTGCTTGGAATGGCCCCCCTATACATATGCTCCGCAAGCTGTGACCTCAGGAACGTTCCACATCCCCAACCATCCTAAAAATGATCAGGTTCGGCGTCTTGTCAACCCGGCCAAAGGTGCACCAAGAAGAAACAACGAAGACCCTCCTTCCAATCATGGAAGTGGGTTCCGGGCCAGTCCGAAACCATCCGATCATCCATGGTTGAGGCCATGAATGCCAACGGTCCCCAAGTAAAAATAACTCTATTGCAGAAAACTCATCTTTGGTTCCCTGCCAATGGTCCCAAGTCAAATTCGCTCTGGTTCCCTTCCAGTCCCCAGCTACACCCAGGCCCTGGCTTCAAGTCCAGTCAAAACCCCCCACACTCGCGTCCTGCACTTTCGGTGGGCTTCCGGCGCCCTCGGCCCGGTAGAGCAAGAAGTAGGCGTCTGAGGAGTGGAGCGCCGGCCTGCAAAGGAATGGAGGGGAGAACTAATCGAAAAATGCGCTTGCAACCCAACTAATCAAAGTGCACTAGCACCTTTCAAATGTAATTCATGAGACGTTCCTTCTCGTTTTGCCACCCCAAGTGGGGAAGCAGTTTACATGGAAAACAACTAGTTGAACTCTCTTTCGCTTGTGACGTCCCACTACAGGTTGTGGAATTGGATTTGAGGCCCATTTTGAACAAAGAAGGGCGGCCTTGGGTTCCCTGAATTGATAACCACAGGGTAGACAAAGTCCAAAAGCCGAACCCAAATTACCTTGGCGCTGGCACGCCCCAGGGATTCAACCCCAAAACCCCACTCCCCCAACAAAATTATTCGCCTCTCCCCAGAGAAGAGGCTGTCACACTGCTGCTGCCCGAGGATGGTGACCCTGGAGTCATTGGCATCCTGGAGCCGTTTCCGAATGGCCCAATCAGTCGCGCATCCAACATATAGAGATTCAAGAGGTTCCCTTTGCATCACATCAAATGGCTCAAACACACATTCACTGCTCTCCTTCCATTCGCCGCTCGGGTCTCGGATGAAGGAATGGTAGTGGCCACCGTGGGCTGTGCCACTGTGCAGGCAGACTGCGGACAAGTGGTACCTCAGCCATTCCACGGCAAGCGCTTCTTCAAGAGCACACACACACACACTCAAAGGTTTGGGGACACCGCCTCAAATGGAACAAAACTGGAGGTGCTTCTGCGGCGGTTGCAGGGGCAGTGTTGTGATGGCAAAATGGGGGAGGGAAGATTAAGAGCGCCATGGCTTTTTCGCCCCACGAATGCTCCTTACTTCGATCGAAGAACTTGACGAGGTACCCTGACATGCACCTGGTACCCAGGACAGCGCAGTATGTTGCAGGGAACCTAATTGCCAGGTCTTTGTGCCCTTGGACGAAATGGAAGGCATGCCCCAACCCTGATGTTTGAGAAAGTAGGTCGGGTTCGTGTGCTTGAGCGAGCTTTGCACGACTCGCCTGGGAAATGCCCATCTTGATGCAATCCATGAAGACTGGCTTCTGGCAACGAACAGGGGAAGCTCCAGGGGTCTTGCGACCTACCCTAAAAAATACCTTGCCAGAAAATGCATTTTGCTTAAACCATTTGACAGGATCATGACAATTTCCGTTGGGCACCTCTGTGTCTTCTTCTCTTAAACACGTATGCGGAAACAGCGGATGGGTCGAAGCCAACCTTCACCTCCGTTGTTTGGCTGCTTTTGAGCTTTTTGGGTGTGGACCATGTTTGTGGTAAATAGACAGTTCAGACTTGTTTTTGGCCAATCCACGCGGGAAGTGAGAAAAAGACGAACCTGAAGAAGGTCGCAACAACATTTAAGTGGCCCTGCGACCAGCACACGGAGGGGGGGGAAGAGTGGGTGCTTTGGTTGAACGGACGCCTCACGTGCCGCCTTTCGGGGTTTGGGGCCCCAAGCTCACTCCTCGGAGATGAGTTTAGGGTTTAAGGTGTTTAAGGTTCACAACCTATGGACCAACATGAGATGATTTTGGGGTTGGGGGCAGAAGCTGAGATAGAATACCTTCCCAGTCTCGGGCCCATTCAGGCCCCACGAAAGCCCCTGCCCTTTGGGGGTTCCTTCATTTCCCTTTCCAGGGGGGTTGCCTTAAGAGAGGCAAGATTCTCTTGATTGCCCCATGGGAGTCATGAGAAGCATCGGATTTCATTCAGAACCCTGAAATGGTCCTTGTCTATTTCAGGGTCGGGTCTTGCCGCTTACATCTCCCAGGCCACACCCAATCCATGGAGCGAGGGGCTGGCCGCCCTTCATGAAGCCCAGGTCCAGGTCCAGCGGAATCTCCAGGAGCTCTGTGAGCTTCCGCCGCCGGGCCGTTTGCATGTCGAACACGAAGCGCAGCAAGTGCAGGCCTCAGCAAAACTCTTTCGCGGTTTTTAAGGGCCGCGGTTTGAGGCTCGGTGAAGCCGTGGCTGAACCCAAAAAAGACATCCCTTTGGAAATCGACACCAAAACTGGAGGTATGTTTTGGAGGAGCCGTGGCAGCAATTTCATGTAACATAATCGCAAGTATCGGTTTTCAGCAGTCCTTCCAGGACAGGCTCTTAGAACCTTCTTTGAAGGAGTTCTAACACAAGTTCTCAGAATCTGTCTGGGAAATAGGGGTTCCGAAAGTTCCTCCTGATAAGCTGGACAATAGACTTGAAAGCTCAACGATCCCCCACAAAAACCCTAGACCAAGAACAAAAGTATGACTCGGTATGACAGCTACCCGCGTTAGGTCCTGTACCCGCGTTAGGTCCCAACCTCAGCTACCACGGCATTGGGGGCGCACCGCATCGCCCATGAAGTGAAGCTCCTTCAAAACAGGTCTAGACTCTTCCCACCAGGGAAGCTGAGAGGAGGTCTCTTCGAAGACTAGTTCTCTTGGAAAGACCTCCCGTCCACTGCCATGATTGTCGAAAAGATGGTAGCCAACAACAACTTCTGGGTTGCACCAGGAGTCCTGTTGCATTCACCCCGCGCTTGCTTGGTGTGCCCAGTCGCCCAGCGAACTTGCTGGAAAAAACGAAGCCTTGTGGGGACAACTAACTATATTAATTGTATTTCTTTTTGGGAGCTCATCTGCTACACAAGTGGGCTTGATCATGCATGCGCTGTCCCTCCCCCTGCCAATTTGCGTGGGGAATTCGGTTCCCCACCAAAAAAACTTAAGGGTAAGGCAGCTTGATGCGCGTGCTGAAAGGGGTTTGGGGTCATCTAAGCAGGAATGAGTCTTGGCCGCCAAAAGGAAAGAGCTTGAACTGTTTTCCGGGAAAAACTTAACTATGACACCTCCCCTTCTGTACGAGCAAAATACGTGGTTCTGAGCGCCCTAATTCTGCTCACATTTTGGCAGATTGGGCTTGCAATTGCGGCAATTGCAAGTTTTCACAAAGAAAGCAGTGACCTGCAACAAATCCTGCATGGGCAATTTTTTGGGTTTTGACCACACACTACATAATACGGAGCAGAACGTTGAGGCCCCAGGTTCCCCGTGAACCAACTCCGAACAAGCTCCGAACAAACTCCGAACAAACCCCGAACGAACTCCGAACGCACTCCGAAAAAACTCCGAAAGAACTCCGAACGAACTCCGAACAAACTCCGAGCAAACTCCGGACGAACTCCGGGCGAGCTCGGAACAAACTCCGAACAAGCGAACAAGATAAAAGCGAACCTTGTCGTTGGTTGATTTCCGAACAAACCCCCGAGCCAACTCCGAACACACTTTGGCCATAAGTATGTGTTTGAGCCTAAGTATTTTGGTGGCCAAGCTGGTGGTCTTTGCTTTTTTCGGGCTTTCCAAAAGATGCCAAGTGATTACAGGGGCCAGTTTCAACAAGTGGCCTGGGAAGGTGTTTTTTGAGGCAAACAAACATTTTCTCAGCTAGGCCACTTGTTGAAATTAGTTATTTTGGTCACTTGATTTTCCTGTTATGTCGGACAAGCGCCAGGCAAACTTTGGCCATATGTTTCTTTGGGGGAGCTGATTTTTGTGTTTCGGCCTTAAGTTTCAGCTCTTCGGCTTTGTTTTGCTTTTTTCTCGTTTCTTTTTTTCAGGCTGTGATTTTTGCATATTATTAGTTGTCGGGGCTTAATTCTTGCCCCGGACGAACTCCGAACGAACTTTGGCCTTAAGCTTTTTTTTGGAGCTTATTATTTGTTCTCGGTGTTGAACTTTTTGGGTTTTGGTCGTACAAAAACACTGGAATTACAGCTTGTTGATGCGTTTATAGTTGAAATGCCCAAAACACAAGCGATTCAAGTGAATCGAGCAAATGGCGCCAGCGAGTGCAATCACGCTTTTCACTCAGCCTTGAGCCAAATGTATTGGCAATGGAATTCTCATGCACTACACCCGAAGAGGAAGTTAAAAGGAACATAACCCCTGAAAAGTGGGTTTGTTCAACTCCCCCCTCTTACGATTTGGGCTAGTGCAGATCGGGTCGCAGCGAAGGGTGAGTTCATCCCTTGCTAAAATGAGTTCATCGACTTAAAAAGGCGACCAAAAGGTAACTCTCGAATTAGTGATTTGAATTGAATTCATGATCCTGGCATGTGGCACACTTCCAAGTTGGTAGCTAGCGTGCATAAGCATCAACCAGCGTATCAAGAAATTGAGACACAATGCCACGACGATGCACGGCACTCAAGCGGGAACGACAGCTCACCGTCAAATGCTGCACGGATGTATTGAGGCGAAGGTATTCAAAGCCTAGTGGTACACTTTGCATCCGAACCTGGCGACAAAAGGGTGGCTAGCAACGACCTAATGAAAGCCAAGCATTTCATTGCAATTCACCTTTCGTGAAATTTAATTGCGTCCACTCTACAGCCCGAGGCGCTCGAAGCAGCCAAACAAGGCGTGGGCCAGTGAGATGTTCATTCGTGCTTTGACTGCGGAACATCCCCAACATGGATCAAGTCGAGGGCAGCGCCCCACTTCTGAGGGCCGAGTGCCTTCGTCAAGATGTCTCCCTTCTGCTCAGTTGTCACGATGTAATCTAGTTTGTAATTGGGATTCTCAAATGCTTCTGACAATGAGGCGATGTTGATTTTGTGAGTCTTTCGCAAGTGCCGCAATTTGGAAGAATATCCTTTTGATACAATCGCAAGGACTGCTTGGTTGTCCTCCCAACACTTCACAAGAATTTCACGGCCAAAGAGAAGTTTACAGGCAATCTCCAAGGGCATCACATCATTGTACACGGCAGTGGCTAAAGCCACAGTCTCGGATTCAGTCGTTGATCGGCTGGTGACAGTCTGCTTTCGGCTCACCCACACTAGAGGAAGGAAAGAGTTTTCGGCTTCAAGGGCAATGAAGTAACCCGAACAGCTCCTCATGGTGCTCACGCAGTCACCAAAGCTCGCGTCCACCCAACAGGACAAGCGCAAGCTCTCCAGAGGGTCATGCATGAAGGAATGCAAGGCATAAGTGGTTGTGCGACTCAAATAACCTATCAAGCGGGCGAGGCGCCTGTCATCAGCCTTACTCCACTTGGTTACGTGAGATCCCAACAAGTTAATGCCAACTTGCAAATCTGGCCGGCACAATCGAGCAAGCCACAACAACTTCATGACAATCTTCGCAGCACTGCCTAAGAGCTCCCCCCTGGCAGTGAGGTCCTCTGGGCTAAATGAACCATCTTCTAGATGCGGGGTGCTAGCAGCGCGCACTGGCATGTCTGTTAGCTCCTTATATCTCTCTACACATTGCTGAGCGAAATCTGCGGCTTGAAATGCGTAAGCTTTCTTACCTTTCCAAGTCACTTCCTGATGAGACCGCCCTAAGACGATGGTCAGAGGCATGGGTTGTTCGAGTTTCACCCGTTTCCCAAATTCCAGCCAGAAACCGCTATGCCGAGATTCTTCACCACTGAGCGTAAAGTCATCCACGTAGGCTGACAGAGCCATTTTAGAAGATTCGAACATGTAACAAGACGGTAAACTGCTGAATTCTTTGCCTCCCATCGATTGCAATACCGCGTCAGCGTGCTTCCACCAGTGGGCCGAGGACTCTGGATGCCCATAAAGACTTTTCCGGAGCCTGGCACATGGTCGTACCACATGAGAAAACTTTCGTGGCACCAACTCTGGCGGTAAGATCACCTATGTTTCAACGCGAGTGGAGAGAGGGGCTTGTATGAAGGCCTTTACCGCATCAGCGGTGGAGCACTTATGTCCTGGCGCCTGTCCCCATGCAATTACGAAGTTGAGCCCTGCAATTGAAGATGGTGCTGATGCAGCCAGCTCATCAAACACGGCGCTCAAACCTTCTTGATTTTTCACTGCGTCTCCACGAAACACAATTCTTGCCTTCAGGGTCCACTCAGAGGGATCTCTCTCAAAGTGTTTTACTGAGACAATCACCATTAGTGATCCAACATGGATTTCAACCTTTTTGCGCTTTGCCCGGGCCAAGAGTTCTTCATGGGGAATGATACTGTCTTCCTCCCATGTGCCTTCTGCAAGGATCCCTGCTTTTTCTGATTGGACAGCCGCAAGAGCACCTGGATTACCAGACCACTCTTTGCGATCCAGGAGTTTGTGAACTCCTCCTAGCACGGGAACCTGGTCAACTTCGGCTTCATACATTGCAAGGTCAATCGGAAGGCACGGCAAGGCATGCGGCTGCCGATGCTCCTGCGAACTCACTGGCAAGGGCCTACAGGGCATGGATGAAATGTATTTCCATGTGATGTGCGGAAATATGGATTCTAGGATCACTCTGGCCATTTTCGGAGGATAAAATCCTGATTGGCGTGTGGCACTCCCTTGAATGGGAGTATGTCCTCCTTGCTCATGATTGCATTGGTACTGTGACAGGGTTTCAGCAAGTCGCTTCGACGATGTGACAATACGCCAAGGCTTCTTGCACGGCTTACCTTTAAAGGCAACTCCCAGCATGCAACCATCACAAGTCACTGAGAACAACTGATGGCGGTTGATCCACTTTGTGAGCTCAGGAAGCGCCCAGCCAGCACAAAAGCGCGGCCACTCGAAAGATACATCTCCACCCAATGCGAGGATAATTTCTGACACCTGCACAAAGGATCGGAGCATATTTCTTGACGCTTTCCTAGACCGATTCAAAGAGTCGCGCATCTCAGGGTACTTAAAGTAATTCAGGCGTTGCCATTGGGACCATGCAGTACATTCCAAACTACCATGGATCGAGCTTCCAGGCACGGCCGTAACCTGATAGCTTAACTGCTCAATGGCTTCTGAACTACTGAGGTCAATGCCGTCCTTGTGCAGTCGAACAACCTTGATGCCAAGCTCCTTTCCAACAGAACCTAAAGCTGACTCGGCGGAGCAACAAAACTCAAACAATATGTCACTTCCGAGGTTGGTACCTTTAGTTCGGTGA